GAGTTAGGTTAAACAGGATTTTGATGGAGAGGATGCTAAGATACCAGGTTTAGACACGCCCGGTGAATTTCGCCATTGGATTAGGGGTTAGGTCCGGGACATTATGTCAACGCAAGCGGAGGGGAAAGTCGGAAACCGGAAAAAGGAGAGAGATGGTATATCCCGGTAGGGGCACAAAACGTTGAATATCGCGGTGGATATAGGGGGTCAGCGTCACGGGAAAATAGTCACGGGAAACGGAAACGGAAGTGGAAACGGAAACGGAAACCCCAGGTTTTCAGGGTTAAGGTTATGATGGAGAGGATCGTATATACCGGTTGGGGCACGCCCGTTGAATATCGCGTTGGATTAGGGGTTTGCGTCAAGGGAAATACGTCACGGAAGCGGAGGCGGAGGCAGAACCGGAAACGGAAACGGAAACCCCAGGGTTTTAGGGTTGGGGTTAAACAGAATATGATGGAGAGGATCGTATATACCGGTGTGGGCACACCCGTTGAATATCGCGTTGGATTAGGGGTTTGCGTCCGGGAAATACGTCATGGAAGCGGAGGCGAAGGCGGAACCGGAAACGGAAACCCCAGGTTTACAACCCCAGCGTTAGGGTTATGGTTAAACAGAATATGATGGAGAGGATCATATATACCGGTTGGGGCACGCCCGTTGAATATCGCGTTGGATATAGGGGTCAGCGTCACGGGAAATACGTCACGGAAACGGAAGCGGAAACGGAAGCAGAAACGGAAACCCCAGGGTTACAACCCCAGGGGTTAGGGTTAGAGTTAAACAGAATATGATCGATCGCGTTGGATATAGGGGTTTGCGTCCGGGAAATACGTCACGGAACCGGAAACGGAACCGGAAACCCCAGGTTTTCAGGGTTAGGGTTATGATGGAGAGGATCGTATATACCGGTTGGGGCACGCCCGTTGAATATCACGTTGGATTAGGGGTTTACGTCAAGGGAAATACGTCACGGAAGCGGAGGCGGAGGCGGAACCGGAAACGGAAACGGAAACCCCAGGGTTTTAGGGTTGGGGTTAAACAGAATATGATGGAGAGGATCGTATATACCGGTTGGGGCACGCCCGTTGAATATCGCATATTCTAGTACCACATTGACAGGCTAAGACCAACACCACAGATATAGAAACATCTACATATTTTAGTATGAGATGATAGAGCAGCCTCTGGGCATTAAACTGATATATTCCATATTCCCATAGCCCATGTAGTGGTGGAGATATTGTGGTTTAAACAATGGAGGGTTCTATGGGACGATAATACCGTATTAGGTTAGCGTATATTTTCTACAGCCGCGCTAACCCGTTACAGTATTATCGTCCCAAAGTCCCGGTCAGCGCAAGGAGTGGTTAGATGTGCATGAAATCATGCATGCCGGCCCTCTACCCCACAAAAACAATGCTATTT